GGAAAGAGCAGTGGCATTAGCTTCCTGCCTCCCATACAATAATGCTCCATAGCAGAATAGTTGTTAGGGTACCAGGTACACTTTACAACTACTTCCTGTGAATGTTTCCCACTCTCCTGCACCTCTATCAGAGATATTAAAATTATGCCTTCTCTATAGCCAGCAGACAGGCTTTTGAAAGCTTCCTGGTTTGTCCAGTTCTGTGGTAGTGTAGTAGTGCCATTTACTCAAGGTGCTCCAATGAACACCTGTTTTCATACAACTCCTCCCAATTCTTTTCTGTGAAATATTAACAGAAATAACATTCCGTTATCACCCAGGGCTGTAATCACTGCCAACTTATGATGCAATTGTAGTCAACTCTGGAATCTGACATTTAAAAAGTTGCTTTGGTGTCTGTGGTGCAGGGATTGTTTTGAATGCACTTAACATCTTTGTTGCTTTTACATGATTCATTCTGGTCTCAGAATGCACCATCTGTTTACATGCTAGACCTCCAAGCTTTTCCCTTACATGGGATTTCAAAAGAAAAAAAATCCATTAAAAGAACAGCTGTGTCTCATTAACAAGGCTCTTTTCCCTTTATTTTAAAATTTTATGTACATATGATCTGTATAATGTACATTCAATATAGAAAGTTTTTATATACTGGATACTGTATAGAACATTTCACAATTACACTAGGTTCTTACATAACTTGTTGACTTTTTTTGTTTCATTTTTTGCTGAAGCTTTTTCAATTTGGTAAAGCCAGTTATACAAACAAACAAACAAACATACAAACAAACAAACAAACATCTACCGCTGTTTGATTTCAGGAAGATCATGTTAATCATTAAGGACATCAGTGAACCAGTGCAGGGACAAACCCCCGAGTAAGTCAAGTTCAATGGAGAAGTCATGTCAGACTTGGGGCAGAAGAAGAAAAAAAAAAAGTGTTCTTCAAGTAGGGATGGTGGGGTCCAAGTAAGATTTAGCCCAATTCCTCTAGACTGTAGTTCAACTCCAGTCATGCTAATTCATAAAGTATAAAAAAACTAGGAAAGTTTGATTCACAGTCTTGTAAACAAATATAAAGGAACTAAAATGTGCTTATGTACAACAAGAAAAAAATTCTTGTGTACCCATTTCAGCTGATCCACAGAGTGCTTTCTTCTTATGCAACAGAATCACCCATTTTTTTTCCCTAAAAAAAAATATATATATTCATAGAAAAAAACGAATAACACTGTCATGAAACAATCAGAGGCAGCAAAATTCATTTCAATGGAGGAGATGGAGGAATGTGTTATTCCTCATCACTGGCCATTCTGCCTTTATGCATCATTCATGGGTATTTCAGATCCCTTAGCTGGCATCTCCCACTTCATGGTCTACTGGGGGTGGTACACTGGGTATTACAGGTGACGTTGTCCCTGCAGTAAGGTAACCAGCAACTCCAGGGCCTGGCAGAATAAAGACAGATAGCAATATTTAGTTTTGATCAAAGTATCAAATAGCAGTTTAACTTAATTATGTTAAACTTGTTGGGGGTGAGGGAGAGAAGGAAAGAGGTTGCGTGCACAGTGAATTTTCCAGGGCTTGCCACCACAAGCTAAAAACAAGTCTTCTCTCTGTCTATCCTAGTCTCTGTAAGCACACATTTGTAAGGTTTCCTTAAAAACAGGGTGCTTACAGCTAGCAAGTGCCTAGGTCTCTTAAAAAAAAGATCAAATGAACCTAAACACGTAGTAAAGTGAGCAGAGAAATGCATGAAAGCAGCAGCATTATTCATCCAGCATCTACCAACATGGAGGAAAGCCAGAGAAATGCCAAGCAAAAGAGAAACCAATACAGAAATCTGTGGCTCAACTTGTAAGAAGGTATTTCACAAAAGAAACCCTCCCTCTGAGATTATACTTCAGGACATGCCTGTACGGAGCTCCTATATTCTAGACAAGGCACCAAATTGTCTCACTACCAGGTGATGTAGCCCTACTGACATGCAGCAAGGATCCTAGCAAGTCCTTTCAGTTAAGGTAAGGAATTCTGTATGCTAAAAGTTGCCAAGCCATTGAGCTAGCGTACCTGCTAGCTCTCCCATTTAGAGCAGTATAGCATAGGACTAATCCATCAGTAATATTTGCAAATTAAGTCACTGCTACAAGCATTTTCATACATGAAAACTGAGGCTTATAGGTAGAAGCAGCAACTTAGGATTAGAAGCGAGTACAATATTCCATTCACCCATGATATTAACAGGCATCTTGCATGCAAGCCTTTCACTTTTAGTCGAGTTCACAAAATGTAGAAACTGGTCCACTTTCATGGCTATGAAGAGTTCAAGCAGTAAAACAAAAAGTAGAAGCATGAAGTGGACAGCCCAGGTTACCGAGGTAAAGCAAATGTCAGAAGCTTAAGGATCCATTTTTAAGAGAGACTGCAGCACTCCGCATTCTCTGTATTTAAGGGCTTTGGTGCCCCCTATCCAAAGAAAGAGCTAATAATTGTCATTTTTTAAAATGTCCCAGTATCCACCCCCCACTTACTCAAATACTAAAACCTAAAAGCTAGTATTTCAACACTTCCCTTTTCACAGCACTGATAACTGCTATTTAACATCTCACAAGCAGAAAATGTCTTTCATACCGTTCACTTTTGGTACAACAGCATACCACCTTTCAGGTTTCTAAAGAACCCTGAAAGATACAGCCATAAGAGGGACAGTCATTGTTGGACAGCACATTGCTGTACGAAGAAAGCTAGTTCTGTTCCTGCATACATGCAAAACAGAGGTAGGGGAAGGGAAGACTCAAAGGGCACCATAGCAGAGACTAAACATACTGATTCGATTCACATGTTCTTCCAACCTTTCCCTAGAAAATCTTCTGAACAAAAAAAACAAAAACACACAAAAAACCCTGTTCAGGAGCCATCTGGCAACTAGTTTACTTAACCAGAGGTTCTCTAGCAGAAGTGTTACAAAAAGGAAGATTTAAGTACCAATAGCAGCAGCTTATAGTAAGTACCTGGAATACAGGAGACTACATGCTTGTTTAGATTATATAGCATGCATCTAGAAACAGTTAGATTTGTTACTGAAAATGTCCTGAATGCAACATGCTTTTTGCAAAGTGGTATCTACCTGCTTTAGAGAGCTACACAGAAGTTAGCAAGCTGCCTGGCAGAGCAGATCTAAAGCCCACTTCTGATGTGAAGGGGACTGCTACCAGTTAGAAGGGAAGGAGAGGACACACCTGAAGGAAAAGAAATAAGAAGCAAGGGAAGTGCAGACAGCAAAGCAGTTTGAAGCAATGATAAAAAGGCAGAACATTGTCAACGTTGGACTGAAAAAGTTGTAGTTCACATTTCTACAGTGCCTTGAATTCTAGGATCTGAAAAAGCTTAAAATACAAAAGGAATTTAGCCTGGTCCCATCATGAAGGAAAATTTAATCTCATTTCTCATCCCTTAAAGAAAAGAGGGGAACTAGCACATCTACCAAGCCAGTTTACAAAGTATTTTGGCATAAGGAGTTGTAGGACTGTTTAGCTTTTATACAAATGTTTGGTTGATAGACTTGATACCTCTATTCCATATCCTGACATGGAACCATGTTAACCATGAGGTTTGATAGCCAAGAAGCTTGTCAACTAAGACTTAAAACAGTGTGGCTCTTGGAAACAGCTAGATTTGTAATTACTCAGTACCGGGCACTTTTCAAGTAGTGAAATAAAGCTCCAAATTGGTTTATTTAGTTATGCTTATATAGCCCCAAACACTAAGAACCTTTAAGGATAGTCAAACTGATAAAAACTCAGTTAACCAAGAGGGTTTTGAGATCCAGGCAGAAATCTGTGTGGAAGTTTCCCTTTCCCTATTGACTGGGTTATTTATACAGTATTAACCTCATAAATCTGGATATCAAAAATCCAGAATTACTGAAAATCCAGCACTTTAAAAGCTACACACTCTAAATCGAGAAGTAGCAGCAGCCAGTCCTGGAGGGGGAAGCTTGCATGTGGCGGCTGCCGCTGCCCTCTTGCACCACTGCTCCATGTGCGGTCACTGCTCTGGGGCTGGCCCAGATAAGCTCAGTTAGATTCCTCTGGAGTATTTTGCCCCTCCTTTTGATTAGGCACAAGTCATGATTCTCAAAAATCATTTAAAGTTTAAGCTCTTCCAGCCATGGTTACTTGCCCGAGAGCAGTGAAGCAGCATGCTTGTATTATTACAGCTATGTTGTTTTAGTAAAACCCAATATCAAATAAGCAAAAGTTTTTATGCCTCTCTGGCATAAAGCTAAGCATGCTGCTTTTCAGGAGCAAATGTAATTTGGAGAAGAGCTTGTAGTGGAAATGAAGCAATACCTAGTTTGATGTCAGACAGCTTTCAAGAGAGTGACCAAGCAGACTTTGGGTTCTACTATGGCATGTCACCATGACTATTTGCTACTGGGAGGGGGGATTCTGACCACTACCACCACCACAACTCAAGCCCATTAAAATCAGTAACCAAGATCTTTTAAAAGAAGTTCAGATGTGCCAACCAAAGCCTTGCAGCTATAAGAGATGCATGTCAGCTAAAGATTGAAATCAAACTTGTTGAGAACAGCCCATTTACAAAGGCAATGCAGAATAAAGTACCTAGTGAAACCATGCAATGCTATACATGGCAACTGCAAATTTAAAGTCCAAGAACACTCTGGTACTACAAAAGTTATTCGTGGTAATGCATTTTACAAAACCATAAAGACCAGCTTTACATAATGTTAAGGTAGCACGATGAGACGGTCACATGACAGCACAAAACCCTTCATGATAAAACAAGTTCCACCTGCTCAACTCTTAAGAGGAAAAAGAGTTCAAAAGTGTTACTACTATTCAGACATTTGAAAAATGCATTTGAATGTTCAGAAGTGATCCAAGTGTTACTGACCTGCAAGGTATCCTGCAGTTTGGGTCTCAGAAATGAACAAGTCATGTTTCTGATCTTTGAAGGCACTCCACACAGAAGAACGAGACAGGATTTCATTTACCTACAACAGTTAAATGCTTATAAATTGGAAGATATTTAAATTCTTTTAAAATGGAACTGAAGTTGGTGATCTGTGTGCTTAACCCCCAGAAAAGATGCATAGAACCCCAAACTGACTTAGATAAGAGAAAGGAGCCCCTCACTTCACTAGGGTGGAGGGTAGATATACATATGAGCTTTCAAAAAGGATGAGGGCTTATTAGCTTGCATTTCTCCATTGTGCTGCTTCCCCTGTAACAGTCAAGCAACTAGGAGACAATGCTACTAGCTATGTGCCTCCCACCTCAGATTTAGCCTGAGATGCCAATCCAGATGGTCTAAGAGGCATCCCAGCTTCAACTCTGGAGCAATTTTTAATACAGCCTTGAACATGGACAAGAGAAAAGAACCAAGAACTACAGGGATATTAAAGATTATATTGTGTGCAAGCCACAAACATTGCCACTGGTTAAAGGAATGTGCATTTCTTGGGTGATATTTAAATGTCTTATAAAGTCAGTGCTTCTGGGTAGAAGAGCTTAAGAAAGATCTTAAGATTTTTTTTTAGGCTGCAACTCCAATAGTTCCCATCCTCAGAGAAAACTTGTGAATCACGTCTACCAACTTTAGTCCATGCATAGCTGCCTATGATGGAAAGGCTTGAGGGGGTGAAATTCTAATGTCAAAGGCTCGACTTTGAGATAAATCTTGCCACTTAATATATTACATGCAGAAAAACCTCAGCTCAAGTGCTGCAGGCCAGTCAAGATCACTCACCTGTTCTCCATACTGTAGGCTGCGAGTCATAGACTTCAGGGTTTTAACAATCTGAGCCTTTGTGGCCGATGGGCTTTCCAGATTTTCAAGGCCAATGCCTTCAAGCAGTTTCAGCAGATATGGGACCAAATCTGCTTTCAGAGCCTACAATGCAGAATCATTTAGGGATATTTAAAGTTCAACTGACTGATAACATTTGAATGTTCATTTCCTTCTTGTGCCATCTCAGAGATTAGCAGTGTGCATAGCCTAGGCTTTTCCCCTCCTAGGTTGTTGCCTGGGAAGTTCCTAATACAAACTGTAATTTATCTTATTCATGGTGTAAAACCAAGTTAGCAAGAGGACTGTTAGTCCAGCACTAGACTAACATGGAAAAACTGATCTCCAACCCTTTGACTAAAATCACACCATGCAGAAGTGGGATATCAGATACTGCAAGCCAAGAAATAAGGCTGGCTTCTAACACTCAAAGTAAGTGCAATGGAAACCTCTTGAAGTGACTGTTGGATAAAGTGGGTGTAGTGGTGGCACAACAGCTTACCTGGGCTACTAAATCATTTTGCTCCTTTTGAAACATTCGATTAAGTGCTTCACAGGCTAGACCAATTGTATCCGATCGCTTTTTCATTCCATTTATTAGAGGACTGATGGTCTCAAGTGATGCCATTGCTCGAACACAGAGCTACATAAAAAAAAGAAATCAGAATATGTATCTAGAGTATCATGCAATAATTTTTATAGCACTAACTTGTAGCATAAAACTCTGCAGATCCACCTTTTCAATACTCCTTCCCTGTTTTAGAAGGAGCCATGACAGCAGGCAGCACCAGTTGCTGCTTTTTTTTTTTTTTTTTAAAAACACATCATGCTTCTCATGATCAGGATGAAATAAGCTATTTGCTATCCAAGTCAGTAGATTAAAGAGAAAATAAGTGTCTATGGCTAGAAGCTACAGTGAAGAAATGTAGCGTCCTGCAGGAGAAATGTTATGAACCCCGAAGATTTTTACTCCCCAAATCAATAGATTGGCATAAGATTACACCTCCTCATACCTTTCAAATAAAAACTTCAAATTCAGTACCTCATTATCTGACAGTATGTGTATGACGCGAATGGCACTTTTTGGAATGGCACTGTTCTTGTGATTCAGGGCCTGGATAATCTTGGGAAGGTGACCAAGTGGTGGAAGTTGATCTGCTAGCTGAGGCTGAGCGCTGAAGAGGCACACAGTTGCTGTTGTTATTGTTTCTAAGGTTTCCCCCTGTAAAACATGCTGGTCTTGATAAAACAATTTAAGGCATTTCAGATCAGAAACAGACAGACAGCATCACCGCATACAAAATGTTTTTTTAATTGTAACTTAAATTTTCAATTCAGAAATAGTCTCTTGGATAATATTCTAGACTGCTTACAGATGTTTAAAAACAATAAAAAAATAGCACTTTAATAACTTGGCAGGCTCCCATGCTGAGCCTAGTGCATGCCCAGAAGTCGTACTGCATTGATTGGACCCAGCTCACCCAACATCTGTATAGATTGGGCACTTCAATAGGGCTTTTTTGGCACTTGTATAATAGCCAGTTGAATCGGCTTTAGATAAAAAGTGCCAAAGCACCCTACTCAATCACCTGATCTATACAGACACTGCGGAGCCAGGTTAAACTAACATGCTGTAAAACAGGGTTGGGCAATTATTTTGGGCAGAGGGCCACTTACTGAGTTTTGGCAAGTCATTGAGGGCTGCATGACAGACAGCACAGGGCAGATAAATATTAATTTTCTAAATTTTTAGAAGCCCCACAGGCCAGATAGAATGGTCTGGTGGGTCACATCTGGCTCCTGAGCCGCATTTTGCCCACCCCTGCTGTAAAGGAACTAACAGTCCAGTAAAGCGTGTTTTGGTAAGCATCCCTAATGTCCAAAATTGAATTAAAGCCAATATTTCTCCAAGAAACAAATGAATTCATTTACTTGCAAGTGTGTGCGCACGTGCACATGCTCACTAAAAAGAGCCACCCCAACAGAAAACCCAAACTAGATAAAAAGTAGAAGCAACTAAGTGAACATGACTGACTAGACAAGGGATCAAAGTCAAATTAGAAATGTAAGCATAGAGTACTTAATTGGGGAGGGGGGTGGGGGAAAAAAACACAACACAACCCAAACCCAAATGAACTTAGTGCCTGTTTTCCTGTGCAGTCTGTACCCACAATAAGAAGCTTGAACAGCAAGTATTACTAGTTTATGTCCACCTAGTCACAAATCAGACTGATGGGCAACTTCTTACCTTTGACTCCAATTTGTTTAGGCACACCTGAGGTAGCACTGGAAGTAAGTGGTTCAATTACTGCTAAAGGAGAGCCATTACACCACAAATCTTGGCACAGGCTAACTACCCAAGTACTTACCTGAAGTCCCAGATGAGAACCTGCAGATGGGTTTTGCAGTCTGCTGCATTAAGCGTAGCAACATGGCCACATGGTCAAACTAGCTAGTTTGACCAATACTAGTTATGTGCATGAGCTGCAGTCATACCTACGTTTAGATTTGTCACTCATTTACTGATGCAGTTTCCAGCCTCCTTGCAATATTCCCTGAACACCACTGAAGCGAATTGGCTTATTCACTGTTTAGTTTAAACTGAAACTAATGATTTTGCTCACCCCATGAGGGTGAGCAAAATTAAGTAATTATAATTTTGGATACAGTGGATTAATCAGATTACTCCAAGCCAGTTCTGGAGTGGCTATGGAACTGTACATGGAACCCATGGCACAGAACAAAGACCCATTTCTCAGCAGCTTCAAACATTTTTCCTGAAAATAAAAAAAAAAAAAAGTTTCCCTCTTAGTTGCGCAAGACACTTCTCTCCAAGCAAGCCAGTGTTACACACTTGAGGAAATTGTTTGGATTCGCAAAGATTTGTCCATTTCTGTATTAGAGGTTTTTAATGGAAGAACAGCTCAGGAAGACAACAAAAGCAGAATCAGTTAAATCTTAAATGGAAAAGCTAAAAAGTCTTCTTACATGGGGGTTGTTTTTCTCCAGTAGTTCAGTGAATTTTTCAAGCAGTGCAATAAGAAATTCTCTAGGTTTCCTTAGAACCCAGGCCGGCTGGGCAATGAAGATTCTTAAGAAGACTCCCCCTACTGAAAGTTCACCCTCTGCTTCACCATACACCACAGCAAAGTCCTCAGGCAACTGCGAAGTGGACAGAAACAGGGAGTTATATCACAGCACATGGAGTCAGGCCTCTTAAGAGGAAGCAAAAAATAAAACTTGCAATCCACTTACTCATTTACTACCACAATTATGTTAAATAAGCATTATACATACCAGAATAGAGCCAAGCACAATTAATCCCCATTTCTCTTTGATCTTATGTATGACAAGAGTTTGAATGAAAGTTTGAATTAAAGTGAGTTTTTCCTCCAGGCTCAGCAGTTTGCATTCTCTCCCACTACACTAACTATGAACACAAATCACAGCATTAATGCAAAAAAAATATTTGCTGTGCTGTTTAACGAATCTACTTCTACATTTTGTTGCATTTCAAGACTCAATAAGCCATCTTCTTTTTAAATGGTTTCAATTACTTGACACCGCACCAAGTGCTCAACTCCATTGGAACCAAATTCCACCTGTTCAGGTGTTTAAAGATGAGCATGAAACCAATGCAGAGGTGTAGTTAATTTTCCTACCAATTACCTTTTACTCTTTCATTGTCTTAAGACAAGTTAGAATGGATGAACTTGAACTGTAGGCTCCAACAACTGCATTATTTACTCAAATTCAAGATGAGATCCCCTCATCAACACGGAGGGAAAAATACAACCCTTCATTTTACATATGTAGACAAGGAAACCTCATTCAATACACTGAGTACCATTAAACTGCTTCCAAAAGCAGCATGTGCTCAGTAATGAAAACTAGCTAGGAATTCGATTAAAATGCAGCCAACACTGAGCACGACTAAAAACAAAACAAAAGAACCGAACAAAACCATGGACCATACATGTTTGAGCAAACATACTAATGGGAACTGTGTGTGGGGGGGTGCAGCACAGGGGGTGTAAAGAAAAAATGGGCAGTTGCTTCCCCAGGAGGGAACTGGCATAGGAGGCCTGGAGGTACTGCAATACCAGACCAGTTAGCACTGGGAGAGCCACAGCCAGTCCTGATACCCTCCTTTTGGTATCAAAAATGGTTGATCTCAGCCAAAAGGCAGAGATGCTGATAGGAACCTACAAGGATAGATTAGTGCAGCCCAATTAGGCTGCCTGCACCACACCTGCATATAAAATTTCTGGAGGATCCCAGGACTTGTGACAAGAACACCCAGTTTCAGTTTGGGGGCAGGGAGTGGAGGGAGGCAGGTATATCTGGAGCACACATACACAGCAGTGCTAAGATGTGAAGTCACCATGGCTTGAAAAAAAAAAAAAAACAAAAACAAAAACAAAACCAACTGTTGACTCTACTGGGGTTCAGCCCAATTAGCTATATGATAAAGTTATGAACCACCACCATCATCAGGCATAGTTTGTACTATGCATAAGTAGGTACAAAAGTATTGCTAAAAAGCATGTTTATGGAGTAACTGCTAAAACATGCAGCAGTTTCATAAAGTTAAAATGCATTAATTCTGGATGAATTGAGTCTATGGGTACTTGCAGCATTTTGCCCATGTGCAAATTACTAGATGCATGTTTATTTGAAAGGTTAAATGTTTCTAAAAAGTTTGCCCCTCACTTATGTGCTCAGTGAGTGCAGCATCTGACAGTAAGAGGGGGGACGGGCTATTACCACATCAGGGGGAAAATGTTTCACTTGGAAGTGGGAGGGGGACAAAATTCAAGGCAATACTGCCAATAATTAGATTCTATACCTGGAAAATTATGACCAATTTATAAGTTTTCCATATGCAGAATCTAACTATGGGGGGGTCATCTTATATTTGAGTAAATATGGTAGATCTGGAGTAGAAAGTCTCATGTCCTACTATTACTACAGACTTGCACAACGCTTTATAAAATTCAGTGTTGAGACTGAATACACAACCAACTCACTTAAGTGATCTTCACCTCGAAGTTAACAGTATCCCAACAACTTTAGGAAACAAGAACAAAATTGCATCTTGGTTCTGAATGTTGTGAACTCTTCAGAAAACCTGAACTCAGTATTAAGTTCTCTTCTAATTTCGTTTCAGAACTCCTGGACCAAGTATATATTTGTAGCCCGTCTCCACATGTGAAGTGCTTGTGGTGGGGAGCATGGGGGCAAGGGTGTATGGGTTAAGTTTCACATTTCTACTTTTTCCTGTCTTTATACTTTGAAGTCCCAGGACATGTACTTTTGCTCTTACCTTCCAGTTTGTGTCAGGGTTGTCCCTCTGGAGTTTAAAGTGCCTTTAAAAAGAGAAAGAATAAACTTTAGAAAAAAAACTAAAACACGATTAGTTCAGGTAGTATTGCAGAAAAGTAAATTTTGGCTCACCATTCAAAACTAAACCCTATGCTTCCTAATTCTCTCCTTGCCATGCATCATAGTGCTAAAACTGTCAGAGGTTTGAGAACAGCTTTACTTAGTGGCTTTAAGGAGCAAGCAGACTTGAGTATCCCTTTCATCCCTATCTAGGCTACAGATGGCCATCTAGAAGTTACATGATCTACCTCACTTTGTGGCCTGAATAAAAGGAGGATTGTTTAAGTCTGGTGGAGTTTTTTCACCCTGTTTTATACCACCCCACCCCCTTAAAAAAAACCAAGACAGATTGCTAGGATTTTTGTAGGGACTAAAACTAAACAAGCTCCTCTCTCAGGAAATATGCATGTCATTACACAAAAAGTCTACATACTGTAGCATCATTTCCCGAACTGTTGTTGATACTCTCTCCCTGGAGTTGTCATTCCAAATTAACTCAGGATTTTCATGTGTTCCTTCAAAAATGTGAACAGCAGCTTCAGGGTTGTCTCTCATGGCATCCATGAAGACCCCAGGTAGAAACTTTGTTAGTGTAATTCTAACCTACAAAAAAAATAAAATCCCAGAAGCAGTTCAACATAGCAAGATCAAATTCTGGAAAAAAAAGTTCAACTCAAGTATCTGTATGCAACTGATCTCAATCCACTGCATTCAAGACAGAAATCAAGATCATTAAAGCTAGGTTAAAGCTGCTTTATCATTAAAGCAGTCAGCAAGATCCAGTGTACAATCCATAACTAGTCTAAATACAGATAACTGACAACAAAAAGCTGAAATGATGCATCAAGGTGACGACTGCTGCCACTTCTTAAAAAAAAAGTTGTCCGGAATTTTCTTTCATAAGCTTAATATCAAATTGTTTAGTTTAAAAAGTTTGTAAAGCTATAGAAGAAAAAGATCTTTTATGAGTGGCTTTCACTGTTAGGACCACCTGACTGACCAGCTATTTAAGTCTCCCTTTAATCTCCTCTTAGAGGTTTGCTTTGGTCCATGCTGCAAACCATTTACTAGGGATAAAAGCATTGTGCACTAAGTCTGTATCCAGCTCAATTTGTGTACATAAGAATAATCAGCAATATGAGTTAGTCAGGACTTTAGATGAACTTCCTTTGAAAGACACTGAACATATTTTACCTTATTATACAAATTATTGCAATGGAGGTTTGAGAAATTCAGAAGATGTAGACACTCAAGCTAGTGAGAGGGGAGGACATTAAGCATATTGTAAGCCCCCCAAGGTGGGGAGAGCTCCTGGGCAGATAAATTTATATTAGTCATTCTAAAATTGAAGCCAATGAATTGCTTTACCTTTCTTTGAATAAGATATTGGAAGGACAGAGTCCTTCCTAAAAAGGCTCCAGTGTAGGCATGTTAATGTGCTCTCGCTTACCTTTGGACCTACTAGCTTATCTGCAGTCATTTTGGCAAAAAGCTCTGCTGTCTGGGCTCGGACTTGGGGATGAGTTGAGTTGCAGAACATATCTAATAAGTAGATTAAAGCACCTGTGGGGTAAAATGGGGTAAGACAGATTTTACTTATTACAATAGCAAGAAACCAGACTCTACATCGTGCTAAATAGAAGAATACAAACTAACGAATGACTATCACAGCTCTGCAATGAACTTTTGATCTTAAGTCTATTTTGAAATAATTTCAACAGGAAAGATTACTGTACCTTTTGCCATTGCTTCTTTAATTATTTTTGTACTAGACGTCAAGGCATACAGCGTTTCAAGCACAAGCTGCCGACCTGTCAAGATTAACAAGCATTAGAAATCGCTCTTACTGTTGTGTTTAGTTGGATACTTCTTAGAAATTGTTTAGTCCGATGTTGACAAGCTTACTAGAAGGGTTAACAAAAACTACCTAGGCCAAGAATCTCTGTTTTGCCCATTTAGAAACTGTTACGAGCTTTACAAATTCAGGTAGAGAACATGCAGCCAATACCAGGATATGGCACACCACCTTGTTTAAAAAGTATTCCTGTTTTAGAATGGATGTCAGGAGGTTTTTACAATTTATTATTTGCCACGAAAACAGCAAAGTCTAGGTGACCTTGAACATTCGTTATTAAAAACTTGTGATTCAGGTAAAAACTATTTGCAAGTCATAGCTATACTGTTACTTTTACCCTCTCACCTATGCAATTTTAATCCAAATCAGGTTAAGAGAGCAAATAGTCATATTCCAGTCAATTTTCACGAGTTAGTCAAACTTTGTTTTTCAGAGCTCAGAAGACTATGCAGTACATACTTGAAGGCAGTGAATGCAGGAGGGCCAGTAAGTTGGAAAGAACCATTGCCTCAGCAATGTTGTTGACACATTCATGGTTACTAGTCACTATGTTCACTACCTGCAAAAAAAAAAAAAAAAAAAAAAAAAAAAAAAACCACAGGAGTTATTAGAAAAGGAAAAGGAACTCTCCCGGCTTAACCGCAGAATTAAGCTGCTTGATGTTTGTAAGAACAAACGCAATATTTGCATTAAGTACATTTTCTTGAGACTACATGGCTTAGTCTCCAGATTTGGTCTGGACATATGGACTTATTCTTGCTTCTGCCCCCCAAACCACTGTGTGTATTTTATATATATAGGACAGGTAACTACATATCTATGCCCATCTCTTATCCATCTTCCTCTTTCCCCCTCCCCACTCCAGTGCAGTGACCATCACTGTGTCCAGATACAGCATTCAACATCACCATGGGACAAGTGTTGTTAGTACCTGGAAACTAACAGAAACCCTCACATTTGCACTCCAATATTTTGAAACCCAGTACTGAACCTAGTTTATAGTGCAGAATGGTGTTGACTCAGCATTACGTTACCTTTAGGTTAAGGTAACTATGAAACATTTTAGTAATTAGAGAAAGCTAGGAACCATTGAAAAAAGGTAATACAAGTTCCATTTTTTGTTTACCAAATGAAGTTGAACCTGTTAAAAGCTGAAAAATTGAGAGGTTTTTTTTCCTTTTTAGAACAGTAAGACGGCACTGCTATATAAGGAATATTAAACCTCAATTACTGGTCAATTCCTAAAAGAAACACCAAACCACTGCCCGATTTTGGATGGAAAAATTCCTAATAAAGCATAGCTAAAACCAACTAACCTACCTACATCTACTTGGCTCATCATACTGACTACATTCAGCATTAGTACTATGTACTATGGTTTGGAAAAAGGAATGTTGTCCAAGCAATTTTCTTACTTACCTCCAGAGCCAACTGCTGTACCTGACCTGCTCCATGGACACGCAGAAGGGAAAATATTAACTTAAAGTGACCTATGCATTCACATTCAGAACCTACAGAAGAGAGACATGTTGTTTGCCCATTTGAAATAAGAACTAAAATAACAGTCAAATCATTCATTAAACCCAAAATGTCTTTGACTAAGCTTTGGGACATGGAGTCTTTTGTCTCTAGTAACTAACACAGGACATTCTGGTTCACCACTTAACTGGTTCATGACTTATTTTTGCTATGGAAGCCTCAAGCCAACATGCAGTATTTGTCCCCTTGCTTTAAAATATGTATAGGTTTAACTTTGGTTTCCAAATGCATACAGCTGCTAAAGTAACAAGGGAAAGACCACAGAATTCACACTCAAGATAGCAGGAAGCAGCAAGCACATGCCAGACTTGACAGTTTGTGCGCTTTCCTGATAATATATATCTGCATGACTAACTTAAATTCCCAGGCACTTATAGCTGCTTAATCTGTAATGTAATGGTGTCTTAAGGAACTCTTTCAAGTCAATTATTGAATTTTCACAAGAAGCTTCTTAATGAACTTGCCAAGTCGGAGCCTACCTGGGTTGTGTTTTATGACATTTCTCAGAGCCTCCAAAGCCATTTCAACCCTCCGTAACCGGTCTCCATGTTGGTCAGACTCTACTTTTCCAGTCTGTGTTATCGCCATTAACGTGTGAAGGTACTGTGCCTGTGAGCCTATGTAATCCAAAAGGCTTGCAGCAAATGCCTTTGGAAGCTTTGAAATGAGACAGTAGTTAGTTAAAAATCAGTTAAGACTCTTCAGCCAAAAGGCTTTATGTTTTAAACAGTGAGGTACAATAAGCTCATACTGAAAGAATGAGTAGTAAAAGTAACTTCCAAAATTCAGGACATCAGCAATTAACTTATTTTCAACCTTTCTATGCAAGCACCCCTCCTTCTCCCATTTTAGGAAAGTGGTAAACACCAGGTGTCCTTTTGGCAGGTAGAAAGTTTAGGCATTAGAAAGTTGTCATATACTCATAGCAGTCTTCAATTCCTGGTGTAAATCTAGAGCTCACCGTCTTCTGTGCATCTCATTTAACTTGTTTAAATGAAAGTTAAGCATTGAGCAGGGCAAGCAAAAACCACCACCTTGGGCATTTTAAACTTTTTCCACCCTTACCCCCACAAAAAGCATAGTCTACAAAAAAAAATTGTGGTAGCAAGAAGTTTAAAGCAGCTAATACCAGCATCAGCCTGCTAGTATGCAGAATTTTGATAAAAATCTATTTTGCAGGTGTGACAAGTTTTATTGTGATGTTAAGTTACAGGAGATGTAGATGTCCAGAGCTTACGCTTTACTAGAAAGTGTATTTATGTACAAAAATGTCCTGTGATGCAAGCTTTGATACCCTTTACTGTTTTATTTGGTAGGGAAAACAAACAAAACACGCCTTAAGTATCAACTTGTTTCTTTTGCCAGTTGGGAAACTAGTAGAATCTCACCTCCAGCTGGAAGGTAGGGACTTCATTGTAAACTCTAACAAAAATCTCCCCCACAATAAGTTCTTTTGCATGGTCACTGAAGACAAATTCAGATCCATAGCTTTTGTCACAGTCACCCTTAAAAAAAAAAAAAAAAAAAGGGGGGGGGAAGGAAGAAAGATGGTTACTCATGAAAAATTACTAGATTACATTAGATGTTGAAGAGCAGCTAGTACAAATAAACAGCAACTCCACCGTTTCCCTAGGAAACTCAGGGGGGGAAAAAAAATATCAAAACTAAACGTTATGCAGAAGAGTCAAATTAAAAATAAAAGCTGAAGGATAAAAAACATCAAGTTAGCTGATGAAGGATTCCTACTTGGTGAGACACTTGCAATTGTATTAGCAATTTTTGTACAAAATTTTTAAAATGCCACTTAGCCTCAGATATAGAAGGCAGGGCAGAAGGACAACTGGTTCAAGGGCATGAACTTTTAGCCAACCTACTACATCAGGTATTAGGAGAGGAGTAGGCAAGAGTAGGAGAGGAGGAAAGACTAAAACTTGGTTGCTGCCCACAAGATATGCCTCTCTGAATCAGCTGGCTAAAAAGGGTGCCATCCTGCCTTAATCTACAGACAACCATGAGGGGGTAAACAGCACTAGCCACCTCACCACTTGCAGAGTGATTATCAATGGATACTTGGATTGACTGACACACTACATGGTAGGATGGAAGTAGAATATCATTACAGAAGTTGATGCTATATATATCCCAAAAATGATTTTTAGGAGTTCCTCACTCTTTTAACCATGCTTTCTTGTTGCGATTCCAAGAATTCAAGTAGTTCAGCTCTTGTCCCATTGTTCCAGATCAAGTAGGGATTCTCTGTGTTGCTGTTGAGCATCTTCAGAATCTAGGAGGTGGCATGAAGAGTTAAAAAAAAAAAATCAATTTCATATCAAAAAGTAAAAGTCAAAGACTTAATCTGCCAAGGAAAGCTCATTTTTCTTTTCCGTGTATAAGGCTTTCATAAAACTATTAAAAATTCAAAAAAAAAAAGTCACGGGTTCAAGGCCAAGGTTTTCAGACACCAGAAGTCTGATGTACAAACACATACATATTTTGCACTAATAGTTGCAGGAGTTCTCCACCTGGGCTTTCCAAAAGCACACACAGCAAGCCCTCCAAGTCCATACAACCTTCACTACTACCAGTAAGCTAATAGTAGGCCAATGCTTCCCATCTTTGAGGCAGATCTCCTGCCCCCTCCTCCCTTCGCTGTGTTCTGAACCCCTCTTCACATGTCAGGAATAAACCCTACCTAGCTTATTTGTCCTTACTCCTCAACCTTCTTTATTCTAGATAAAAAAAAGCCTACTTAAAAAAAAAAGTTATAACATTCCTAGCAAAGCTCCAAGTACAAGGTGTAGTACTGCTCTTTGGGCTGCCACCCTTTTATACACTGGCACAATGGGTAAGAATGAAGACCATACAAAAGACGGTGTCTAGGAGAGAATCTCCCCCATCCATTATTTCATTTGTGGGACACAACATCTGCTCTTTACTGCAAAGTACTACCTAGCTCTTTATTGTTAAGCACTATCTGAGTAGGCTTGGAATGGCCTTGACCTATATACCACTCATTCCATTTTTACCCCATTGGTTCTTCACCCCTTCTGTAAGAAACATTTTTTCAGAGCCCTATGAAAAGTCTTAAAAGAAGAACGGCTTTGCTCCAATTCTAGATTCGTTCTTGGATCAACCGAGTTCAATATACACCATCACCTTATTTGCCCCATGATTTACTCTAATGGATTAGCCTCCACCGCTGCCCTTTTCTCCATTATTAAAAAAGGAGTAACACCAGTCTTTAAAATGCCACCACCCTGGATTTTGCCCCTTTGTTTTTCAGCCTCATACTGCCTGCCCACTACTTGAATTCCTTACTCCCATTTTTGTCCTGCAAAGTACTGTTCCCTTTACACTGGTTTGCAATTAAATGATTGGGGTATTTCACTTCTGCTTGTAGTGTTTAAAGAACTTATGATCACTTATTGCATAAGTTTCTCACTTGCCAACTATTAAAAAAAAAGAAAAAAAAAGTTAATTTAGTTGCTTTTGAATTTGTTGCACTTCTCAGTAATCAGCCTGGCCTAGATGTGCTTGGTAGGCAGTGTCAGATATAGTAATTACTAGGTAAAAGGTTAAAAACACCAGCATTTTTCATCTTACTTCAGTAGGAGTGACCACAGAAAGTTTCCTTGCAACATAAGGGGTCAGCATTCCAGCAAGGCTTTTTCTTATGGTGGGATTTTCAGGTGTAGCTTGTTCTTCAGACAAATACCCTCCAAGACGACTCAAAGCTAGAAGACTAAGTTTGGCAAGGCTGTTGGCTACTTCCTGTTAACAAAACAATACAGGTTAACAATTTAAATATTTGAATAGAAACCTGAAATATAAATGAAGAGTTATCTATCCTTTTAAAAAAGTTAGCCTTCAAAATAAGTACCCTTCAGTGTACATAAGCATGCTTGGACTAGCTTCCTGGTTCTGCAGTCCTGATAACAAAAATAAGCATACATTTTGTAATGGGAGTAGGTGCTGCAAACCAACTCTAGTGACGTTGAGTTCTAATATGTTCAGCTGCTTTAGGTAGCAGATTTTTTTTTTTTTTTTACTTCTGGCTGACACTAGTCAATGATTATGTAGAAAGCTTCTCATGGTGATGAGGCTGTCCTATGAACTATGGCATTCTGACAAGTACATTTTTAAAAAGTTGGAAAGGATTTGACAAATAAGCTCTCACCTTCATTTATTTTCTGAAATTTAACTAATATTCTAGTAAGCAGGGCATGTAGTACAGCTTCTGACAAGAGTAGGCATGATGAGAAATAAGTCCAAGTATTCCTGTAGGAATAAACTATTAAAAAAAGGTAGGGACCCACTTAACTCATACCAAAACTAAGCCATCTGCACAGCTTACTTACAGCATGAAGGGCTGCAGATTGATGGAGAAGCCCCATCCCTTGCTCCTTATTAAAGGAGAGGCCCTGCTCCTCACCACACAGTCTCTACATCTCAAGCACGTGAATGGCTGCAGGGATTGCCCTGCTGTCTAAAGCATCTCACCAAGGGCTGGGAGATTCTAAAACAACATATTATATAAATACACTGGGGTTTGAGATTTTTTGGGAAATTGTAGCCAATGGAATATTTCCTGGAGATTCCAGATACAGCTGAATTTTGCAATTCCTGCAGAAACTACATAACAAGTTAAAGTAGGTCCCTATCAACAGGTACTCAGAACTTGAAGTTCTGGATGGTAGCATGGCAGGGAGGTTACTTATTCCAAAAGCGAAATATTAGAAGCCTAGGAAACTCAGAAGTAGTATTAGTGGACCTCTAAACATCAAGATATGGAAAAATTCAAAACTGGTGTACTTCAGTTTTCTTCTCCTTTGTATTAACTGAAATATTCTATTATTGCTACTGGCTATATTGACATAGTTTTGGACAAAAATTATAAAGTAAACTTGTTTGGGACAAAAAAATAAATCAAGTAAGTTACCTTTCCTATCTCCACGCATGTCATTAATTAAGCTTGTTTCTGGGATAATTAACACACATGTTCATTTCAACCTTAAGAACATTAAGTCTGGCTTCATATATGTGAACTTCAAGTCAGTCAAAATGTTATAAGTAGGCATTTCTAATCATTTGGTTCTGTGAAGCATCAACCACAGTTATTTAAGTAGTACCCTAGCTGCTGTAGTCTCCCTAGCCCTTTTACCATCCTTCCTGTCCTTGAGCCATTTCCGAGTACCATTTTGAAAATACAAAAAGGTTATGTGAGTTTTAGTCCATCTTTCCAGAAACTAGGCAAAGTCTTCCTATCTTCTCTCAACAAGAGCAGAGCTAAGAAAGATGTTTCCTTTTGTAACCATGAAGTAGAAAGGAATATGCAATTCAACTGAGAACAGTGGGAGGTGGGATTCTATCCTCTGTTTAAAATATAGCCGTCATGGAGGGTTCTTTGTTTAAGGGGGAAAAAAAAACAAAACAAAACAAAAAAAAAAAAAAAGCTACCATCCCCAATTTTACAGGAGCAGAAAAAAAGAAAGATGCGAGATTCAGTTGACACTTAAGCCCAAATACATTTTAGAACCAGTGATATTGGATGCAAGCATCTTAAATAATTAATTTACCAATATGAACCCATTTTAGGAGTTAGAAGTAACCAGAAAAGTCATTCTGTATCACAGTCCTGCCACTTAGAGGATACAGAAAAGCTACAGTACGCAAACATTTCAACCTTAACCACAGTTGACTCACCCACCTACTGAAATATATATTCAAGATCTGCTCTCTAACTAAATAAAAGTAATTAACCTATTAACCAATGTAAGCATTATTGGTCAGGATTCATACTATACATCTTCAAAGAATGGCATGTACTCACTCAACTTTCAGGTTAAAGGTGAAGATTAAGTTTAACGTTACCTGTTGATTAGAATCTTCGCTCTTCTGAATACCACTCTCTTCTAGTGTATAATCATAGTTGAAGAGATAACCAAGCAAATACCACAAAACTCCAGCTTGAAACAAGTGTGTTTGTAGCCAGTAATCCACAGCAAAGGAGCTGACGCATTCTACTCCCAAGGAACCTACTCGTGGAATGCTCTAGGAAATAAAGGAGGACTGGTATTGATTACATTTTTCATGACTGAGGGAAGCCAACCTAGAAAGAAATCGCTGAAAAATCTACAAATTCATGGACTCAATAACAATCTTCCTGGCTTTAGAAGAACGTATTTGCGCTTTTATTCTTTTCTCCACTTAAGTCTGGCAGGTGAAGAGACCAGTACGAACAAACTGAAATTTGGAGTCTAAGGGTGTTTAGGCAGGTGGGGCAGCTCCAAGAGCTGCTCTAATTAAAGCGCCCGAAGCATCACATGCAACAGCATCCCCGCACTGAAAGATGGCGGCGGGGGCACATTTGAGGTTTAGCTAAAGCAGTCCTGCTGCCATTTTTCAGCGTGGGGACGCCGATACATGCGACACAGGATTCTGCTGGAGCACAGTAATTACCATGGTCCAGCAGACTCTAAAACAGAGTCTGCTCCAACCCACTGTAACTGGCTTGATGCATGTGTATAGACACCATAAGGGGGGGGGGGAAAAAAAGTGCTGTAGACTTGAAATAAATTCTGGACCAAAAAAAATTAAGTCAGGAAAAATTAGAGCTGAGATGAGAAATTGCAGCAGGACACTTTCCCCCCCAACCCCTCTAAAGCTGCTGATAACAAAAAAACCCCAAAAAACAAGCGACTTTCCATGGAAGCCACTGCTGCCCAGCAGCTGACTAGGTGAGAAGATCAGAAGCTCTATACCTAAGCAGGTAGGCTGTGGCAAAGGTGGGAAAACTAGCAAGTTTGACTTTCTAAAGACTGGGTTTTCAATCTGTGGAAAGTTGCTCAAAATAGACACTTCAGCAGTTAGACACTTTAATGTTCCTTTTTAATATTAAAAGTTACTTAAGGAACATTCTTAATTAGAGGAAAAATGTACAGCAGATGAAATCAAGTCAACAGCTAAAGAACAGTACCACCATTTATTACCAATTCAAATTTAAGTTTCTTTATTCCAAATCATTACTATTGTCAAGTTAATCATATATTTTAATAAAATAAATCTAGTTACTCCCTTGTCCATGCCTTGCTGCATTTCAACAAGTGAGCAATAATCCATAAAGCTTCACAGATCCTCATTCAGCACAAGAATAGACAGTCTGGCCACCCTGAATGGAAGCAAAACCTGGAGTGAATACTCGCTTTCTCCACTCCAAGGGAATACCCACTCAGGCTGCACGAAGCTTCATTTGCGGATTTGATTCGGTGGAGATTTGGCCCAGTTTCCAAATCAAGTCAGGAGACCCTTTAATCTTGCCGAATTGAATCTAAACCCTCCAAATCAATTCGACAATTCAGACAGTTTTATGTTTTTTCTACGTACCTCAAGGTACCAGGCGGCTCGCGAAAGCCGATATGGTGGGGCATATGAAGCATTGCATAGGAGTGCAGGGGGTCCCTAGCACGCTCGGTGGTGGACCCAGAAGGGACCAGAAACACTTCCGGTCCACTTCTACGTCTGCCGCCGAGCACATTGTGGGGGGGGTGGGTGCACACTCCTGTGGGACACTCCATCTGCCCCACCATATCAGTTTTCACGAGCCATGCCTGGAACCAAGGAACGTAGAAAAAAACCCTATTTAAAAAGCTGTGTCTGTCTATGGCCGAAATGGCAATTCTCTGAATCAGCATCAAATTTTCAGATTTCGGCCTAACTGAAGTTGGGACAGGGATCCAAATCACTGTAGCCTGAATCAGGTCGAATCCAGATCCATGGCCCACTTTCCACACCCCTGATACCCATTACTATTAATCCACTTGGGTACATCTTCATTACACTGAAACAATAGTAATGACTGCTGCATTAAAAACACTCCAGAGTATTCTTGAATAGAAGCGATTGTAAGAGTGGATCCCCATGCACCACTACCTACAAGCTATGCTTGTTTAAAAGCCAATACATTTTTTTTTTTTTTTTAAGTTAAAAGCAAGACCTATACATACTCTTACTTGCCTACGCATGACTTACTGATTGTGCATCATCTTGAAATTACAAGATGCAGAGAAAACCCAACCTAAAGCCAAAAAAACAAAATTTACAGCCAAGAGCCCACGACTGAAATCTGTACAGGAGAATGAGTTTGTTGTCACAACCCAAGGGTGTGATTTGTTGTGTGCGCGCTTTGACACCACTGAATTATTTTCCCGCCAAATTGTAGCTTTCTTTGCAGGGTGCATTTCTTGTTGCAGCACAGAAATGCTCGTTGCAAAGAGTTCCTGCCATTTGTATTCTAATTCGAGCCCCATTATTGGCTTGCGTGAAATTATTCACATGTAGCAGCTAGCGATTGGCTTGCTAGCCATATAAAAGCTTGAGTGGTTTCCGCCCAAGTTGGAGAACTCTGAGGAGAACCCCCGTAAGGGAGAACTCCACGAACACCAGGAGGAGGAGACTTCACACTGTGTGAAGATCTCCAAGCACTGCGGAACCTATCGGACCCAGTGCATTTCAAGCAGGCAACAGGGGTCTGATCAGCCTCTAGCCTCTCCCCGTCACCGAGCGAAAACCTCGACGTATCCCTCTCCCTGCGCGCAAAAAAAGGACCCACGGAGCCTAGCAAACTTCGTGTGAGTGAACAAAAGGATCCACAGAGCCTCGACAACTCCATGGGAGTGATCCAAGTGTTGTCCGAGTCCTCAAATGAGGATTTAAAGCGGAGCTGTGCCTGGAAAACTGTCCAGCCTGCACCGCGACCATCTTCGGTGTAAGTAAACAACCTTGAATCACCCGTTACGCGTCCGTGCCTAATTCCAGCGTGTTGCCTGTTCTCTCCGACCCAGTAAGCCCGGGCTGCTGGCCACAGCCCGCGCGGCGCGAAGGGCCCGGATCGCTCCCCGCCGCCCGCACATGGCGACGAGGATGCGATCTGGAGACAGCCCGCACATTTGTATTATGTCTTTAAAAAAAAAGTCTTACCTTTATTTAAACCAATGCAAATCTATGCTTACACTGTTTAATTATTTTGTAATTAATTTAGTTAATGCACTTCCATGGTTCAGCTGCATTTGGAAGCTTGCAGAACACTGCCTGTGCTTCTGATAACCCTAGGACAATCTTACCTTGCCATAATATAACAATCTACAGAGGTCCTTGATGATATTGGGCATTTCAGTGATCTTCTCTCTGCATTCTTCGAACTGAGCTGCCACACTGTAACACTTACTTATATGCCCACAGACCTACAAGCAAAAACATTAAGCCACAGAAAGCATTAGCCCTCAATTAAAAAGGGAAATAGAACTTTAAGCCAGCTCTGCCAGAACCACCAAAGATCACAAGAGCTGACAAAATGATGCGTTAGGAAGAAAGGGGGGGTTGTTTGTTTTTAAAAATCATTGGAATTATTTTTATTTTATTTTTTTTAAACAGCTGCTCTAAACCTTACCTGTACAGACATATCATCTGGTTTACTGGAGCGGTTTAAAACTGCCACACAACGATTAAATGCCTCTTGCAGCACCTGCAAAAGTAAGTTAGAACAGAAACCGAAAGAAAACGTTATGCTGCCAAACAAGCAATGAAGCAGTTTTGGCTCAGAAGTCCTGGAAAGACAACTTGCCCTGTGAAAGTCTGAATCCAAAAAGCATTTCATATGGCTTCCTGAAAGTGCCATAGCATCAAGTCACACATTTTGGATATCTAGAAGACTAAGTAGCACTTGAAGCTATTATTCTAGTTTCTAGGTCTACTATTCAGAATAAAGCCCTGCTCAGAATTACTTGCTCCCAACTTTTGGTAGCAAGCTGCTGTTGGTCTATTCTTTGGCAAAACTAGCATACTGGAGCCTTTAATAATGCTACTGTTTCACAGAGGAATATTCTAGAGCAGGGGTTCCTAAACTGTGGTACAAGAGACACCTCTGGGGGAAGGAGGTATATGGGAGACATTGTGTAAAAGCAAATGCTTACTGTAACGAAAATTAAGTCCAATAGGTTAAAATATAAGATGTACACTAGTAGGGGTATGCAAGCAGCTGGTAAAACTGGAAGGGAGTACACAATAAGAAAAGAGTTTGGTAACCTCTGTATGGATGTCTAATCCTTTGTAGAACAATTAACTTATCTTTATTAATTAAAGACCCCCCTTCAAAAAAAAAAAAAAAAAAAAGTCACAGTGGACAGGTCTTGCAGAAATGGGGGGTGTGTGTGGGGGGGGGGAGGGAGGGAAGAGGGCAGAACTTGGCATTATCCACACAGCACCACGTTACCCACCTCCAGACTTGACTGTCTAAGTCTGAACATAAAAAAAAAAAACAAAAACAAAAAAACAAAAAAAAACGGGAGCTGTAGCCATGAACAGCTTCTGTTAAGCTTAGGGGTTTACCTCTACTCCATTCTCTCTTCTCAGTTCCTCTGCATTAAGTGCTGAACAACTGACTGTGTGGAAAGCAAGTTCCGTAGCAGCAGGCAACAAGGGAGATTCTTTGGAAAAGAGCTGGTCATCTGATGTTTCTATGGTGATGGTCTTGATCAGCATGGGGTAGCCTGCATATTTGTAAGGTTTCAAATCTAAAAAGGTAAAAAACAGTAACATGGAAGGTCTGATCCATATGTAGCCATTCTGTTAACCAAAGAAAAATGGGAAGTCTTCTGCCAATAGTTCGTTACTAAATTTCACACAGCATTTCATTTTCATTGCTGGGCTCAATAATGAAAGTGACCCTACTGTTAAGAGACAGGGAGGGAAATATTCAGTGCCTTAGATTTGCTAGCAATGTACAGACTGAGCTACCTTTCACAGTACTCATCCTTTTTTTTTTTTTTTTTTTTTACTTGGTTATTTAAAAAAAACTCTTTCAGAAAGTGCCAGGGAAATCCTGCCTAGGACCGTGGTTGGTTTCCCCACTCCCACATTGAGGTGACAGAGGAAGGCAGACAAAGATAGAAGTATACTTAAGATAGTTCACTGCATTGCACACTGTATGTGTGACATGTTCTGCTTAAGAGCAATTTAAACCCTGGGTTTTGAGCAAGACTCATTTGTCCAGCAATAATGAAACCTGGGATCAGCTACAGGAGTCAGTTCCCAGTGACTTATGTTGAATAGCTAACAGTTTGCAGATATGATTTTATGGCAAAAGTTCTCATCCTTCCATTTCAAAGCACCCATGTTAACTGAATGCATGGTCTTCTACCCCAATATGAGAAATGCAGTTATACATTGGTTAGAATTTCCATCACAAAAATCAAAGCTGAAGCCACAAAAAAGTGACAGAAGTTACTCCAATTTCCTCCTTTCAATTTTATCCTAGTTCTATGATAACAGGAAACCATGACAAAACTAAAGGCTAGGGACCAAACCTTCTTTTATCTAGTAGATAGGTAATGCAATCCAATGCAAACTCCTTCAGAACCATATGGAAAGTAGTGTATACTCTTCCTCCCCCATTGCTTTTTGTAGATAAGACAAAAGACAAGTTTCATCCCTAGTGATTTACAGGATGGAATGGGAGGGGGAGGAAGAAAGCAGCTGCCAGTCCTCTGTGCTTTCGACACTGGTGACCACAAATCTCCAGAAGGCATAGTCTGTCCTCTGGCTCTACTTCTCCTGGTCCCTAGGGAAGAGTTAAGCTGGTGTGCAGATGCACCATCTCCCAGGATAAACTTAACCCTGGTTGTTCCAAGGTTATTCTTCTCCCAGGGTAGCCATTTTTGCTCGGGGGACAGGGACACAATATGAAAACCAATCACTTGAACATCTTAAAAGCTTCAGGTTTCTACCAGGAAAACAGCAATTCTCCCGGTAAAAGCTGGTTTGTACATAGCCTCAGAAGATACAAAAGTAGTTCTCAAAACAGACGAGCAATTCTGGCTCAGTATACCCACCTTCTTTGTGCCTGTTGAAAAGGATGCTTTGAGTTTTCAAAATCAAAATGATGTTTTCTGGATCTGGGCCATCCACCACTTTAGCAGATTTTGTGCATAGGAACTCATATGCTTTATTCACTTTTTCAAACATATCCTGCACATAAGATGAACAATATTAAGTATTACCTAACTTGTCTGCATCTTCAAGGTGTACTTCCATGGAAGTTTCATATTAAAGCAGTAACATGGAAAGAATGCATTTAGAAGTTTAAAAACTTTTGAAGCAAATTAGTTGCAAAAACAGGAATGTCCTACTGTCATCCCAAAGAAAGACTGATATTGCAAGTTAAGTCTTGGTGCAGCCTGAAGCCATATATATCAATAAAACAGACATACCCTGCCTTCTGGGTTCTTGTCAGGGTGATATTTTTGTGCCAGCCTGAAGTAGGCTTTTCTGACCTTGCTTTCATCATGCCTGAGAGAGAAAAAGAAAAAAAAGTTCATTTTTATAAATACTGTAAAAGAGGTATAAAACTTTTATTGTTTACCATTCAGAGACTTAAATCATGACAAACCACAACTACAGCTGTAGGTTGTCACATCCTTATTTCCATTTTCAGAGTTGAGAATTATACTCCAATCTAAAGAGGCAACTACAAAGAAAAGAAAAAAAAGCTCTTTTGCCAGGCTGTGATAATTTACTGTCTAAACACTTACTAGAATTACCAACTCCATTTTGCCTTGTGAGAAACATTTGACTGTAACAAAGAACTGTTCATTGGCCCTTGAGGGGCAACTTTTTTTTTTTTTTTTCATTGAAATCAGGCAAGTAGAAAGTAATAGGAAGAAGTGTCTAATTTCTGTGATCTTGTTTATTAGAACCAAAGGGCTGGATAGAAGGATAAAAGAGATGGGCCTGTAGAGAAAAGAACCAAAAAAAAAAACCAAAAACCCACAATGGATTGATTGGCGAGGACAGATTTCTGCAATTTTTTTCATGGCTTTGCAAGTCTTGCACCCCCCATAAATAAAGGGTGTTTATTTGGAAATCCCTGAGAGGAGTTCATGTTGCCAGTTCACTGTTTTCCCACCTCCCCATCCTGACAAATATCTGGTGGCAAAAATCCATGACTTTGGGAGAAAGCATTGATGCAGAAGCCACTAAAGAAGTTTGAGGAACTAGTGCAAGGTTTCATGACACTAGTTAACTAGACCCAGTGCTTAAAAGCTTGAAGCCAGCAACAGTGCTTCTATTCTTCCCAGCCACAAGCCAAAGACTCATAGAACCCAAAGTTTCACTCTTACACAGCAATCTCAAAAAGGGAGTCCAAAAGGACATGTCAACATTATAAGCCGAAATTTTTCCAAGCCAATGAACATCTTAAAAGCTGGTTTTGCTACAATCATTTTGCAGAGAGAAAGCCATTAGCAATTACCCAAAATAAGCCCCAGAAGTGCAACTAGTATGGCTAGATTAAACACACACAAACAACTTACTGTCCTTGTCCTTTGGGAAGGTTAAGGACTTCATAAGCATCATCAATTGACATGGTAGGTGGTTTCTTCTCCACCTCCTTCTTCCAAGCTTCCAGGGTATCTTTCAGTAGTTTAACCTGAAATAAATTAAAATCCATTATGGCTCATGTCTCAAAACACATTTTTTTTTAGCACTCTCAGTGGAGAAACACACCCACCAAGAGATCTGAAGCTCAACATGTTAGGGATAGTCCTAGATTTAAAAAGAGAGCACCACACAAACCTCTTTCAATAGCTGGAGGTTTGTTAACATAATATTGCCTGTTACAAGCAGCTTGTAAGAGTATTTTGCTTTTCTGGTTTGAGGGGTGGGCAGCTATTGAAAAAAAAACACCACAAAAAAAACACTACTTCCAATACAGAAGTACAATTTAAGATACCCAAGTATTACCTGGATATTCCCATATTTATGGGCTTTTTAACAGGATGTTTAAACCATGTGTTGCTATCTGATTTCTTTAGGCTGAATTATGATAGATTTGAAGAGGTGGCCTAGCCACGGTTAGAAGAGAGTGAGCTGTACCTAGTATCTCTGATAGGTTCTCTTACAAATTCCCTAAATGGAATCCTTACATAGTTACAGTAAGGTTTCATAGACATGAGGGCTGGAAGGGACCTTGGAAGATCAGAGTCCAGCCCCCTGCTCCAGGGGCAGAAAAATCAGCTGGGGGTCACAGGATCCCAGCAAGATAAGACATCCAATCAACTTAGGGGAGTCCAGAGTAGGTGCTTGCACCACCTCTGGTGGCAGCCTGTTCCAGACCTTGGGGGCTGGGACACTGAAGAAGTTCTTCCTTATGTCCAGCCTGAAATGGTCTTGGAAGAGTTTGTGACTGTTCAACCTTGTCATCCCATGGGGTGCTCTGGTGAACAGGCATTCCCCCAGATCCTAATGTACACCCCTTATATGTACACACACACACACACACACACACACACACTTGTAAGCAGCCACCAGGTCCCCCGAGCCTGCACTTTTCCAGGCTGGAAATATGCTGGTGTTTTAAGACTGTTTTAGTTATCTGCCAGGTGTGTGAAGTAACACACAAGTGTTTAGCCCATACCACTACAAGCTACACAGATTCCAACTTAAAATTTTTTGATTAGCTCTGAAACTAGAGCACCTTTCTGCTGAGTTTTGCAACCCAAAAAACTTCCATGGAAATGGATACTTACACATGATTTCAGGTTTGCAGTTCAACCAGCCTGGGTAGGAAGTGTGAATAATTATTCTATTTAAGCTTTACTAATGTATACATTGCAAGTGACAGTTTGTCAGGATACTTATTTATTTTCATCCACTTCAGCACATATAGGGGCCCTTTGTCCTACTCAGTTGCTAAGGCAATAAGGTCTCCGCCTTCTACCCCACATAGAAATTGAAGGTATTTGAAAGAAATCAGTAAACTAAAAATTCATAAAGTAGCCAAAGTAGTATCTTGGAGATGTATAAATACCAAGATTCAGTAGGGCTTGGTGACACCAATTATTTACATCAAATTAGCATTCTTTTTCTACAAATGCTTGGGATTTTTTTTTTTTTTTTTTTTTTTTAAAAACACACAACTCAATTCTTACTTACAGGATCTTTAATTGGCCAATCTGGAAATCTGAGTGTATCACAAAGGTGCTTGAGGTAATAAATGTTACAGAACAGCTCATTTTCCAGTTGTGGGTAGTTGATCACAGGAATGGGGCAATACTGATAGAGTGCTCTTGTATTACTTTGAAGACGAGGGGTAAAATCCGCAAGATGAGCGGCAATCTTCTCTATCATTAGGCGCCTGAGAATTGCAGATAAAATTCTGGTGAAATATAGCTTGCATAAGCACAAACACCAAGGAAATTACAAGTACTGGCAAGGGTTTAAAAACAGTTACTTAGATATCTTTCATTTTAATCTGAGTCAGGATCGACTCTAGGACTCGACAGAGCCAACATAAAAAACTTAAACTAAATTGGAGACTCCATAGTAAAAGAGACCACCACAACTAAACTAGTACCATAACAAGGGATGGACAAGCAGGACAGGGAAGGTGCCAAAATGGCAGCTCCCTGGAGAGTCCATGGTGCTGCTACAGCAGCTGTGACTGTAGATGGAGCAGCAGCCACCACTAGGTGCAGGGTTTCTGCACTACTGCCACAACCATTTGGGTCAGGCAGACTGCTCTAGGACAGCAGCCACCACCAGCATCACTAGAGACTTGAGTCTAGCAGGCAGAACCCTGCCTTCCCACTTAGTGCTTAGCACTCCCATTCACTTAAGAAAGCTTTTAAAAATGGATAACTAGTACCACTATCAAGATGACCTACCCAGCCCTTATTAGCCATGACTTAAAACGATACAATGCCAATTACTTCTGGCCCACCAGCATGCCCAATACAGGTTTAAGCCAAGATACTGGGTATGCTATATCCCTACTTTACACACACACACACACACACTTGCCTCATTTCATTGCTCCAAATTGCTTCTGGAGTGTCAAATTCCCCAAGAAAAATTTCAGAAAATTTTTCTGGCTCATAATTCTCTAGATAACACACCATTGCTTCAGGAAGAATATGTCCAAGTATACTTCTCTGAAATATATCTTGCCCCTTTGTCTAAAAAGGAAAAAAAAAAAAATTACCAGATGTTGAAATATTTGGAAGTTAAAAGGTGTTTGCTCTCACTAACTGAGAAGAAAAAAAAAAGAAGTGTTCAGATGAAGTTAAGGGAGTGTGTTAGGGTCCTAATTAAGAGTTCCTAAATTAAGAGTTGCTAAAGTAGAGAATTCTTGCATTTAGAAGTACTATGATAATTCTGCAGTTGGCTGTTGTGTCAAAATATCATCAGCATTACAAAAAGGTAAGCGAAGCTCATCTTCCCACACTAATTTTAGTCTTCATCTAATGTTCTAAGACTGGCTAGGGTCGGCAAGTTGTTTATGCCTTCTGCTGAGCTGAAGACAGTTAGTTCACAGGAACATCAATACGCTGTAGCTAAGGACAAGAGGAGTACAAGCAGCAAATTTCTCCAAAACTAAGAATTACTTTAGCTCTCTTGGCTGAGACAGTTACAGAAATCATAAGAGGTATCCATACAGCTAACCTAAAACATATTTCTTCTTTGCTTTCTTCTATACAGGACATTACTTCCTTACTTGTAGGAATTCAGAGAACAAGGAAGTAGACACAAGGTCCCTTCCTAAAGAAGTGATGCATCATCATCTTCAATTAGTTCAGTCTGTTTAATAGACTCTGTAGGATTTTTGACAACGTTGCATTGTCTTAGTAGTTCACTGTAAATAGCCAAGAGCATCTTTTTTAGGATAATCACATAAAATTCAGGCAAACACCTTGCCTTGAGCATACATGTGGAACTATGGTAAAACAACAATTACTTACTTTGATTGGGATTATGGATATTTGTGGTGAGAGGACATAGAAAGTAAATGTATAATCCATGTTAATACCATGTTTAATGATTAGAGCAAAACACCTCTGTTCTAGTAAACTCACCTCTTCAGACTTGAAAGCCTGTTTTGTATGAGTGTACCTCAAAAACCTAAAGAGGAAGGATAACAATTTTAGTATTAGTAATGTTCAGCATGTCTGTGCAGAAGTGTATAGCAAAAGGTGAGCTAATTAAGCATCTGCATGTAGTTTTGTTTATTCCACTTTCCAACCAGCCTGAGCCTTGTTACAGCCAACCTGAAGTCTAAATTCTAGCAAAAAATCCATTTTCAAAGTACATCAAATCTGTATGGTCAAATAATTGCCTTACAAAGCTTAATTGCCTTACAGCCTGGAATTTATAAAGGTTTAGTTAGATCTCTGATTCAAGTAATTTAAAATTAAACTTACAGCAAGATAAATCCTTTTAATAGGAAGCAATTACAACTGAAACAATAGGTTTAATACTTAAAAAAAAAAAAAAGAAGTTAAGAACAGTCATTTGGGCATGCTTATGTAAGAACAAAACAGGCTGTCATTAAGACTTTAATCCTAAAATGTCACCCTCATCAAGATACTGGTTGATATCCAGCCATTATGAGAGGTAAACCCAAAATGGTTCAGATTAAGAGGCTACAGTACTATTCCTTTCTTTACTATGAACTCTCATTGATAACTTGGCTTTGCCATTTTAAGCCAACAGAAGCCTTCAGCATTTACAGTATCTTAACAGTACACTGGGCAGCTTATTCTGTGCAACTATATGCATGCCCTGGCTGAGCCCAGAAAGTTCTCAGAGGAAGTGAATCGACATGAACACTGAAAACACTAGACACAATCCATAAAACTTGAGTAATATGCAGAGAAGACACCTCCCCCTTCCTGTCAAGTGCCTACTGCTACAGTTCTTGTCCTCACCTTGCAATAGGAAGCACGTTTGAACCTGTGTACATCATAATAAAGAAGAATACACCGCTCAGATAAAAACGAGGTAATTGTGGGTTATCTTGCATGATGTGGAACAGCAGTATGGCAACTTTCTCAACCAGGATTGGATCAAAAGTCAACAGCAACTGAAATTTGAACAAACAGCATTTTGTAGTCGCACCTGATTTTTCAAAAGAAAAAAAGCTTTCAAAGATCCACAGGCACACTACCCATAAAAAAGTTAAACTTACTAATCAAAATTAAGACAAAAGTGCTAGTAAAGCGTAGAAAGAGAGACTGAGTGTCAAATATTAATTGGAATGGTATTGGTATATTCCTCAAAAAAAAAATCCTACTGCAGATTAGTAAAACAAACCACTCACCTGGATGATATGGGGAAGGCAAGTACCATCTGAAAGCAGCCTCTTTACTCTGGGCAAAGGTCTTATTATTGCATTATCCTGATCCCTGAAATATTACAAAAATAAATATTTTAGGCGATGCTACACATCTAAAACGTCTTGTTTACACTTTGAATTAACTTTGTTTAGGTTTTCAGCTTACTGACAGCCTTAAAATTTACACTGATCATTATTAACCTTGTTGCTCAATTGCTTAAGAAACTGATCAGATCTCAACCTTAATTTCACTAAATTGATGTTACAAAACTGAACACAAAAGCACATTCCCATGGAAATATTAGCATAAATAAGTAAATAAATACTAAATACACACAAAAAGTCAACATTTAAACACGATTACATAATTCTCAAATGAACTGCAGCAAGGACCGAAAGCTTTGACCCTGCAATTAGGTTTAATGTCGTCCCATAGTAAGAAAGCCACCTTATTTCTCCCCAGGCCTGGACACTACCACATCACAGAGAAAACACCCATCTTTGCATTTACAGAAATTCAAATGCAACTTGTTACAAGGAGGCATACGCATATCTTATTTAAGACTCATGCAACTCTAGAGCATAACTACTATGGCTTATTAAACCTCTAAACACCTTTGCCACAGTTATGGAAGCTAGCCATTTCTCATCTGGGAATTAAACTTGTTTTTACCTGCTGGGGAAATATCCACACATTGTGATCAACATGTTGAGAATAAGTGTGGCAAGGTCGGTTTCATTTAGTACAGCCTGTCCACTGGCCAACAAGCACCATTTAAGCTGAGGGATGACCTGCAATGGTCGCCAGCCATCCATGCCCTGAGCCCAGCAGCGTGTTTTTGAAGTCAATTTTCCCTTGGTCCATAGCTCCTCCATCTATTTAAAGATCAGAGATACTAGTTAGTGTTCCTACATACCCTGAAGCAATCATCAGTAAGGTTTGTTTGTTCTCATGTCCTACAATAGTTACAAGCTATCAAGACCTCCTTGCATACTTGTAAAGGGTTGGACTTTCATGATGAAAGGAAGCCACTGCAAGTATTTTCTCCTTGTCTAAATTGTAAAGATCTACACTTTCACATATTAAGGATGTATTAAAAGGTCAAGAAAGTAAGCTTAGAAATGATTTTGAAACTGAAGGAGTCTTATTACAGCAGTAAAACGATTCTAAATCACTATTGTTGGTTGCTTATCATCCAGGGATGATTTTAAAATATTTGAATGAAAGTTTAAGTTCTAGTCTCCAAATCAGATAAGGTTCAAGCAATGTCCTCCTTCCTGAGCACCAGCTTCCAAATAAAAAGCGTGCTCTATTAAAAGTTTCAGAAGACTGTCTACTTTAACATCTTTATGCATCTATCTATCTATCTATACTGAGCCCATACTATGAAGTCGGCTCATTTGTGACAACACTAAATTTTTAGTTCTTCAATACATATATGCTTGTACGCTTATTTTCAGAAGTTAAGAGTGAAGCTTCTACAGTGTTTGTAAGCAACAGCTCAAGAACTCGAGTTCTGTCATGAATGGTACAAGTTGTAAATGTTAGACAATTACCAAACTTTTGGAATACTAGCTAGATGGTTAAAAAAAAAAAAAAAAGTTACCTTTTTATGACTTGTAACCCCAGAGATTATGCCAGAAACTTGTGGGGAAGTTCTCTTGCATGCTTTGGTAAATATGCAACACAATATACGAAAACAGTTTTACCTCTTTCCTCTTATGGAGAATAATAGCAATTCAGAAGAGGAACTTTTAAAAAGTCCTTATTGAAAAACAGCAGCAAAAACACAAGAATACCTCTTGAAAGCTGTAAGGACCACTCCTTTCTTTATCTGCATTGCCAAAGTACCATTCTTTTTCACTCTCCCTCTTCATATCAGGTGCTGCCTCAATCACATTACTCTAAAAAGATAATTTAGAGAGTCAACTTCCATACAGACAGACTATACAGGGACAAAGAGTATTATGGTTTATGAAGGAACTTGTGTACATATGTTTCTCTTAATTTTACTCGTTCTTACAAATACAGAAGCATGTCCTATTAAGGACAAATATCTAGTTTCTTACTACTCCATTTCTGGACCAAGTGTCAAGACAATGCAATAAAAAATGTTTAAGAAAAACGTTGAAAGAAAGAATACATTTTATTAAAAAAAAAAAAAAATAGAGACTTCATACTTGCAATGGAACTGTAGCCCTGCTTGTATGGAGATGTGCCAAGGTTAGCAGATCCACAAGGATTCTAATACCATTTGAATCCATAAGATCCTTAACATTTTTCTGTGCAAAGATGATTGGGGTGGAGAAAAAACAAAACACTTTAGGATATGACCAGCCTCCCTTTATTTATGTATTGCACAATGCACCCAACCCCCCCCCCCCACCGAACAAGAAGCACCAAAGTGTTCTCTAAGAAATAGTATAGAATATAGCCCAATACAACATACATACTTCTAGCCTCTTAAATCCCTTCCAGTAACTGATCTATACATAAATTTTGCACCCATCAGGAAAGGGAAGTTTTAACAATCATTTGTAACAGAATTTAAGATCACTGGATAACATTTGAAGCCAATCCTGGATTGATTTTTAACACTATAGCCAAATCCCTATCCTTATTATTCTGTCATGCAAGCGCTTGCCATGCAACAGCAATGATAAAGCAGATGAGTTCCTTAATTGCATATTTGGGAAATAAGATCTCATACCTTATTAAGAATCAGCTTGTTAAGAAACAAGATAAGTCTGTCCCGCTCAAGTTTATCAGTACACTATTGAAAAGGAAGAAGAAGAAAAGAGGATAAGCATGGCATGACAGGAAATAAAACTTGATTGGCTAATTCAGTTTGTAAAAACTGGTTGTTACGTTCTCTCCGAATTGGATTTCATCTCCAGTTTCAAATAGGTCTTAAACAAGACTTCAGTCCCTGGCTTGTCATTATGTAAAGCAGTCAAACATTAATTGAAGAAAATTAAAGGCTTAGAAAATTTTAAAGGAAAGGGGATTGAAAACCAAATGGCTCAAGCAACATCTACTAAAAAACTTCAAACCAAAATAGCTTCAAAGATCTTGCTAGTCACTACATAAAAGTCTCATTCCATCAGTAGTCTTGCTGAAGTGTTTTCACCCTTAACCCAAAAAACTAAAACAATAAAAAGCAAGCCAAACACCCTACTCAAAAAAACCCTAAAACAACCCACTCATGTGCATACACACATCTGTTCTAGAGTTATTTTTACTTCACTTTAAAGCAAAGCTTTACAGCCATTTCTGGCAGGCCTCTTCTTATGGAGATACTATTTGAATCAGGTTAACCACTAGACTGGGAAGTTAGATTAGGAAAGTCAACCTGTACAATTCAAAACTAAAAAATAAAAACTTTTTTTTTTTTTAAATGAGTAAACTTATTTCCTATCACTTCACCAGTTATTTCCTATCACTTCACCAGAGCAGTACTAAAGACAGAGGATCCAAGAACTAAAGTGCACTAAAAAAAAAAAAAAGTCAGCTCACATATAGCTCAAGCTGGTGGCTAGCAGTATTTCTGGGAAGAAACCAGAGACCCAGCGCACTATAAGAGACAGCGCTAAACTTCTTGTAGCAGGTAAAAATAGGGCTCTAAGAAGATAGAAACTAAACCAAGAACTGAACTACTGAAGACAAAACAAAAGCCAAAATGTTCTTCAGTTCATCTTCACAATGAACAGGGCAAAACTTGGATAGCTGGTATCTGCTTTCATCTTGGAGACCAGTTAAAAGGAGAGGACATGAAAATAAGCAAGGGTAGCAAGTTACCCAATTCACCCTGTAGTTTTGGTAAATACACTGCCTCAGGAATTAGTGCATTTAAAGCCAAGCACTCGGATGCAGCCCCTCCATGAGAGAGACCTGTTCCCCAGACAGGATTTTTATTATTTATCTTGAACCAAATGCATTCAATTCCTTTTTCTGTTTTTCACAATCTAGTTTATTGGCATTTTCAAATAAATTGTTTTTGCATATTAGCGCAATGGCATTAGAGATTTCTTTAGTTGAGTACTGGCCAATTAAAGTGGACAGAAATTACCAAAAATTAAGGAGTATGGAAATTTAAAATGCAGCTTTCCAATGGATCTTCAAGCTCAAAACTGAACCCCCCCCACAAATTTAAGCCACATAATCACGCTGAAGGACTGTCAGCAAGTCCTAACTGACTTCAGAGGCAAGTCACCATACTGAATTGCAATTTAAAATAAAAAGAAATCTTACCCGTTCCAACATCCCAACCATGTATTTGGTATCACTAAATGGCCCTATTTCTTCATAACATCTTCCATAAACAATGGCTAGTGCTTGTAAACACAAGCATTTCATATTTACTTTAGGGGTAAGTAAAAATCTATGATAGAGTTCGTTGAAAAATTCATACCTGGAAAGGAAAAAGAAAAAAGTTTACTGTGAAGAAACAGGAATCTACCCCCCTCCCGACAACAAGCGCTGAACAGTAGCTTACGATTTTTTGATTGCTCCACTCTCTTCAGTATCATCTTCTTCCAATAATAGTCTCAGGTAATAATCCCCTATTTTAATTTCCTCTGAAAGGCACTCATACTTAACCTAGAATTTAAGGCAAATAAAAAGCTGTGACTGAGTACACAAATCTGAAGTAGTCACACTTCCCGCATGCTACAACATGGAATCAAGTTTAGATGCTGTATTTTAAATATTACTGCACTGTGTGAATCGCCAAGTGAAGTTTACTTTTGAGCCCTTCCTGAGATATAGCAGTAAAGTTTTAGGTAACTTTACTTTTTAAGGGGAAAAAGGTTTAATAGATTCTATTTTATTAAAAGGATAGAAACAGTCATAGATTCATAGACATTAGGGCTGGAAGGGCCCTTAGAAGATCATCAAGTCCAGCCCTCTGCCCCAGGGGCAGGAAATCAGCTGGGGTCACAGGATCCCAGCAAGATAAACATCCAATTGACTCAAAAGGAATCCAGAGTAGGTCTTGCACCACCTCTGGCAAGAGTCTGTTCCAGGCCTTGGGGGCTCGGACAGTAAAGAAGTTCCTCCTTATGTCCAGCCTGAAAACAGTCTTGGAGAAGTTTGTGACCGTTTGACCTCATCATCCCATGGGGCGCTCTGAACAGATGTTCCCCCGGATTCTGATGTACACCCCTTATATACTTATAGGCAGCCACCAAGTCCCCACCGAGCCTGTGCTTTTCCAGGCTGAAGAGTCCCATAGCTCTCAGCCTCTCATCATAAGGCCTGTTTTCCTGCCCTCTGATCATGTGCATGGCTCTCCTCTGCACTCTCTCAAGCTTCTCCACATCTTTAATTGTGGAGCCCAGAATTGGATACAGTACTCCAGCTGCAGCCTCACCAAGGCAGAGTACAGCAGGAAGATGACATCCTGGGATTTGCTAGAGAAGCATCTATGGATGCAAGCCAGAGTTTTGCTTGCTTTGCTGGTTGCAACAATCGTATTGGTGGCTCATATTCATCTTGTGGTCAATCATGACCCTCAAGTCGCTTTCAGCCATGGTATTAGCAAGCGTAGCACTGCCAAGACTAACAGTACTGCCAAGCCTATCAGTAAAAAGATATCTAGGGCAGAAAAAAAAAAAAAAAAAAAAAAAATACATGTTCCAAGAGGTATGAGGCAATGACCAAAACTAAGGTGAACTCCAAGTAGATATTCTGCATGTTTTCAGACAGGAAGTCCCTGGAGAATTAGCCCAATAGTATGCATTATTCCATAATGCACCACTCTAGATATTACCAACTTAAATACTCTTAATTTAAGTATCCGGTACAGGAGATTACTACAGTATCCCGTATTATGCCAATACCACTAACAATTTTAAGTACCAACAGCCAAGAAAATCTCAGTACAAAGTAGAAGCCATATAGGATAATAGGGAAATAGGGCAGGAAGGGACCCCCAAACAGGGTCATCTAGCCCAGTCCCTGCTCAAGCTAGGATCATCCCTGACTAAATCATTTCGTTCAAATGAATGAGAAAACCTCCAAGGATGGAGATGCCACAATTTCTCTAGGTAGCCTGTTCTAATACTTAACTATCTGTCAGAAAGTGATCCCCCAATTTGAACTAGATTTCCCCTGCTGAAGCTTACAGCCTTTGTTTCCAATCCTGTCCCTTACAGCCACAGAAGAAAGCCCATCTCCTCTATAATCACCCTTTAGTTACGTTTCAAGACTTATCAAAATCTCCCGTCTTCTCTTCTCTCAACTAGTTCTTTCAGCGTTTCTTCATAAGTCCTGCCTCTGAGGCCCTTAATCATTTTTGTTCATCTACCCCAGACTCTTTCCAAACAATCCACATTTTTCTTGAAGCATCAGGCCCAAAACTGGACTCGGTACTCCAAGTGAGGCCCCATCAGTGCCTAATAGAGTAGAAGAATCACTTCCCTTGATTTGTAAGTTATGCTTCTGTTAATACAACCCAGTATTCTGTTGGCTCTTTCAGCTTGTGGTTCATTGTAACCCACTAGGTCCATCTCTGCAGGTCAGTCATTCCCCAGTCTGTATTTGTGCATGCAATTATTCCATCCCAAGTGAAGGACTTGGCAATAACCTTTGCTGAAAGTCATCTGATTGATTATCTACTTCTCTAGTCCATCTAGGTCATTCTATATCCTAGCCTTACTGCTAGAATGCCTGCCAACTCCACCCAACTTGGGAGGCATCTGCATGCCGGCTAGGCATGCACTCAATCCCATTGTTCAAGTCATTAAGAATGAACATTAGACTCGAGAGACTCCACTACACATTTAGTCGTAACTCATTGATGATTCAAGCAGTTAAGTATCTACTTCACAGCACTTGCATCTTGTCTGCATTTTCTTAGCCTGTTAATGAGAATGGTCATGAAAGACGGTATTAAAAGCCTTGCTAAAGTCATGGTACATCATATCCACTGTTCTTCCACCATCTACCAAGCCAATCACCAAGGAAATCAGGTTGGTCAGGCAAAACTTGCTTTTGGAAAATCCACGCTGGTTGTTCCTGATCACCTTGTTCTCTTCTAGGCATTTCACAATGGGTTCCTTGAGGACCTGCTCCATCTTTTCAGGCATTGAGGTCAGGCTGACTGGTCTGCAATTCCCTGGATCCCTCTATCTTCTCCTAAAAAGATAGTACTATTTGCCCCCCCCAAGCATCCAGGACCCCACCTGAACCTGAGGGGGCAGTGCATGTACCTTTAGGAGGCCTTAAAATGCCTCTACACTAATGCTTGTAGTATGGGGAACAAGCAGGAGGAACTTGCCCTCCTGCTAGCCAACACAAACCCAGACATAGTGGGGCTCACTGAAACTTGGTGGGATCCAACACATGACTGGGTGGTAAACATCAAGGGCTATAGGCTGTACAGGAAGGATAGAACAGGGAGGAAAGGTCGGGGTGTGGCGCTCTACATCAAAGAGCAATACACATCCTCAGCAAACAGCACTGGGTCAGAGGACAGGCAGACTGAAGTACTCTGGGTCTGTATGCAAGGGGGTTGGGGGGGAAAAAAAAAACAAAAAAACAGACCTAACGGTAGGGGTCTACTACAGGCCACCCAACCAGGGGGAAGAGCTGGACCGGGAATTCTCAGGTCAGCTCGCGAAGGCAGTTAAGTCAAGGGACGTGGTCATCATGGGTGACCTAAACCATCCGGACATCGGCCGGGAAGAGCAGTCAGCCAGGTCTGACGGCTCACATAGGTTCCTAGCCGAGTTACAGGACCTCCATCTAACCAAGGGAGGTGCACAGTCCCACCAGGGGAAATGCCTTGCTGGACCTGGTCCTGGCCACAGGCAATGACCTGGTGAGGGGACTGCAGGTTCTCAGCCACCTGGGCAATAGCAATCATCGCCTACTGGAATTCACCATCCAGCGTAGGGTGTCAGACCTGCAGCAAGGCAGCCGCCCTGGACTTCAGGAGGGTGAATTTCAATGAGGTGAGCAGACTAGTGGGGGAGGCACTGAGGTCCCAGAGGGGAGGGAAGTTGGGAGTCGAAAAAGAGTGGTCGTTCCTTCAGGAGACGATCCTCCAAGCCCAAAGGGTGACAATCCCCACACAGATCAAAAGGGGGCAGGAGTGCTCAAAAGCCCCCTTGGCTCACCAAAAGCATCCACAAATGTCTCAAAGCTAAAAAGGAGGCGTACACCCAATGGAAAGGAGGGGCCATCACTAAGGAGGATTATACCTCCATTGCCCAAGATTGTAGGGGGGCTGTTAGGAAGGCTAAGGCAAAGACGGAACTGGGACTAGCAACCCAGATCAAGGACAAGTAGTCTTTTTTTAAATACATAGGGGGTAAAAAGAAGGTACTGGGTAATGTAGGGCCTCTGCAGGACACACTAGGAAATCTGGTGGACACACCAGATGACAAAGTTAACTTCTTTAACAATTTCTTTGCCTCCATCTTTTTGAGCAGGGACCAGCATCTCCCCACTGGGATCCCTGATGGACCCAGGGGAGGTGCAGCTAGGCCCAGGGTCAGTGAGGATCCAGTCTGAGAACTTTTGGTGAGTCTAGATGTGTTCAAGTCAGCAGGTCCGGACGACCTCCACCCCAGAGTGCTGAGAGAATTAGTAGAGGTCATTGTGGGACCCCTGGCACAGCTTTAGGAACACTTGTGGTGCTCTGGTGAGGTGCCAGAGGACTGGAAGAGGGCCAATGTGGTCCCCATTTTCAAAAGAGGGAGGAAAGACGACCCAGGCCTGTTAGTCTTACTTCCAGTCCTGGGGAAGCTCTTTGAGAAAATTATCCAGGAGCACATCTGCAAGGGAGATCATGTTTAGGGGCAAGCAACATGGGTTCATTCAAGGCAGGTCCCATCAGACCAACCTGGTGGCCTTCTATGACCAGGTAACAAAATCCTTGGACCCAGGTGTCGCAGTGGATGTAGTCTTTCTCGACTTCAGGAAGGCCTTCGACACTGTCTCTCACCCCATCCTCATTAAAAAAATTAGGCGACTGTGGTGTCAACCCCTACACAGTCAGATGGGTCGCAAATTGGCTGGAGTGGTGGTGGATGGGTCTTTTTCGACCTGGAGGGATGTGGGCAGTGGGGTCCCCCAGGGCTCGGTCTTTGGGCCTGTACTGTTCAACATCTTCAGTGACTTGGACGACGGGGTGAAAAGCACCTTGTTCAAGTTCACAGATGACACCAAGATGTGGGGAGAAGTGGACATGCTGGAGGACAGGGACAAGCTGCAACTAGATCTAGACAGGTTACAGGGGTGGGCAGATGAGAACAGGATGGGTTTCAACACTGACAAGTGCAAAGTACTGCACCTGGGGAGGAAGAACCAGCAGCATACCTACAGGCTGGGGAACTCCCTTCTCATCAGCACCAAGGCAGAAAAGGATCTTGGAGTCATTACTGATGCCAAAATGAATGTGGGCCAACAGCGTGGGGACACGGTCAGGAAGGCCAACTGCACCTTGTCATGCATCCACAGATGCATCATGAGCAGGTCCAAGGAGGTGATCCTCCCCCTCTATGCAATACTGGTCAGGCTGCAGTTGGAGTACTGTGTCCAGCTCTGGGCACTGCGCTTCAGAAGGGATGTGGTCAGCATCGAGGGAGAGTCCAGAGGAAGGCAAAGATGTGGACGTGCCAAAACAACCACACTTGATTCAGTATGTACCAAGATGCTATAATCAGATTCCTTTATCTCATTTAGAAAGCCAGATGTACTGTTAATGTGCAAGCACTGCTTGCATATTAAAAGTACTCCATCAATAAACTTGCTCCTTAGTCTCATTTTAGAAGCATATTTTAAAGTGTAAAGTTCTACAATAGCCATTTTGATGCATTCCTCTTAAAGTACTCTCAATGAAGCCTTTCTTTTTAGAAAAAAAGATGACAGACTTGCGTTTCCTGCATAATTTCTAGTGACCATGAAAAAAAACAAAACAAAACAAAACACAAAAAACAAAACAAGCCAAAAGGCAGGCATATGAACAGTTGTAGATTACACACTTTCTGCTTGCCCATATCCTGTTTTAACACATTGTTAAATTGCCTCTGCCTTTAGTGCGGCAGTTTCCCCGATGAGATTCTCTGCAGAGATAAAGGTTTCTACTACCTTCCACCCTTTGGTATGACTTCATTCTGCTCCCTGCTTCTGCCTAGCTAGTCTGGTATAAAAGGAGAGGGCAATGCTGTAAAGTATTGTCAGTTCAAGTTCAAACACTGAAGCATAAGAACAAGTGTTAAGAATTAAAGGCAGATCAACTTGCCCTGCTGCCACACAGCTAAGAGTATTTGGAGTCCAGAATTAAAAGCATAAAGAGAAAAGTCTCCAAGATTACCCATGTCCATGTCAAATCGTTAATTTTTTTTTTTTAAACCAGAAGCCTGGAGAAGTTTTTACTTTTTAGAACCAAGGTAGTCCTAGCTTGAAGGCTTTTCCTTGACCTGATTCAGGGTTTCCAAACTTTGGTTATCACTTAAGATTCCAAAGTTATGGTCTTATTCACATAAGAGCTCTGGACAAAATTTTGCTCTGGAGTTAGAAGTGTCAAAGACATGTTCAGATGTCCTAAGCCAGGGGTGGGCAAAATGTGGCCTACTAGGCCAGTCTACACAGCCTGTGGGGCCCCTACAAAATTTAGAAAAAAAATTATCTGCCCCTAGCTGCCTGTCATGCAGCTCTCAATGGCTTGCCAAAACTCAGTAAGCAGTCCTCTGCCCAAAATAATTGCCCGCCCCTGTCCTAGGCAAAGGACTTTTGTCAAATATTTTGTTTTAGCAAGGTTATTATGAAAAAAAAAAAAAGTCAAGATTTATTGGAACCTTATTTAGTCTGTACAAGGCCCATTTGGTCAGAATGTTTAGTGATTTTTTACCTGCATTTATGTAGCTTATTCATAAAGAAATATAGGTTTGTAAGAGTTACACAAATTGCCAACTTGAGCTGATAATGGAGGTTCAGGATGCATATAGTAATCTAGAGAAAGTCTGCACAAACATTAGAACCAAGTAACATTTCTAATATTGAAAAAAAAAAAAAAAAAAAATCTAGGCAAAGTAAAAAGGTTTACCTCAAATTCCTGATGGTTCCATGAGATTACATTAGCACTGCCAAGTTCTCTGTCAATATTAAATGCTCTCATTTCAGACTCAAGGGTATCTCTTAGTTCTTCCCGTGTTTTGAAGTTCCAAATCAAGTTAGACTTAGCATGATCCTGAAGAAATCTAGAGGAAAACAAATGAAACAAAATATACATACATACAGTAGCAAAGTGATAAAGTTTAGAGGCTGTGTCCACAACAGCACGGACCTTCGTTTCCCTGGGGATAAGTAGCAGTAGCAAACCTTGTGCCACTGCTACTTGTGGCCAGGGAATGCCCATGCCACACACCCTCTGGCATACAGTAGGTTATCCTGGATGGGGTACAGGAGGCTGG